TAGTCGGCCACCTTGCGTAGAGGCATTTTATTTTTCCACGCCCAAAAGTGGGAATAGCAGCACTGCGTAAGGACAATGTTGGCGTTCGGTTCTCCCAGCCGACAGTTTCACATTCCTCGCTGCCATCCGTGGCACACAAAGGGAGACCTTTGACGCCTTCTGAATCAATTGCTTTGCGAATTTCTTTCATAGACATAACACTGTAAGAATTCGAAACATACCATGGCCCGTTGATGAGATAGTACGCAATGCGGCCGTCGATCCCATATTCTGCCGTGGCCGTGACATCGAACGAACTGACCAATGCCAGACCGGAAAAGCAGATAATTAACGTTATTACCATTCTTGTGAACTTCGGTAAGCATAAATGAATTGCCAACGGATACTGCAACCATACCAGTTACCGGCTCCTTTATAACTTTGCCGGTAAACAGAAGTGGTAGTCCCTTGAGTGTTTCTGTTGCTGATTTAGCTGCAAGTATAACATTCTTCTACCTGATTGTGATCATTAACCGCCACAATACCCAGTTTTCATGGAAGCATTCTCGCAATGTTGTGTGCCTAGCGAATTAGCTTTCCAGTCTCTTCGCCGAGCATCATGTGTTACCCACTTCAGTTACCCGCTTTGACACGACGAGTTCTCTGCGGTGGTTGGCACTACAGTAAAACCTTTGACTTTGAACACTCGCGTAAATTGAACACTGGTGTACATTGAACGGCCATTACGGAACCGGCGCGTCTCGTAGACTATAACACGGGGGGGACCCCGCGTATATTGAACACTTCTCTAAAGTGAACTTTGAACAAATTTGCTGGAACGGATCTAATTATTTACTAATGTTTAGCCCTTTTGAAAATGAACGAAGCGCCGGAATCTGATTTCGGGAGCGAAAAAGTACAAAAAAATGTGCTTAACGGACCAAAGTTCACAAGCCATTCGCTTGTTACAACTTCAACACCACACGATTTTTGATTTGTTATGCGCGAAAATAGCGTATAAAAGCTCGCTAACGGGGCTACCCCCCTTTAGTCGGCGCACGTTCGCCCTCAAGAGCAGTTTTAGTGCACAGAACCACTGCCCCCTGGGCGGCCCCCTGGCGGCAGCTGTTTTGTATATTGAACAGGCGTCTACATTGAATTTCTCCTATGTAGAATGCTGCAAAGCGTATTCAAAGAATTCAGAATACCACTTATTGGTTCATTTACAGTGTTACACCGACACATTAAGCATTGATTAAACAATCGAAACTTTTCGATACTAACAGTAACCATAATAATCTTGTTAATTGACAACCGACACATGGCTAATGAGGTGTGATTTGGTCTGGATAGAGATTTGCACCGTTGGTGGATTTTGGCCATGACGCATAGCATGGCAGTCTACGGGAAATACCTTATACACGTCGGGTTTTATAGCTTTCTTCAGCGAACGGTTAATTTTTTTCTTTGGATACAGAGAAAATATCTGTTCTACGTTAAATTTCCTATAAAACCGTATGTCAATCATAATTTAAGTGCCTATCTTTAAATTTTGGCAATTTAAACTTTGTGCACGATGGCCGAATTAAAATGTCCCACATTAAGTATCCTGCCGAAACGCGACTTTCACACTGCGCAGGTTCCGGTATGACACTTGCCTTTTGCAATGACACTTACAGATATTTTCCCATATGAGCAATATTTAGTTAATAGACAAGCGTATTACAGTACAACTTTGCGAGATCCCCAACCAGCTAAATACTTGTACAGTACTGCTATGAAAATTTGAATCTCTAGTTTTTGTCGTTTTAAGAATGCTTAGGTTTGCTTAGTTTTCTGTTGTGCGATTGTTACTGTCAGACCTCAGTGTTGTGAATTTACAAATGTTGGTCGCGCTAACGCGCGCCTGGTTGCGTTTGAAAATGTAATCAAGAAATTTGGAGAGCATAAATGTTGTTCAGTTTGTGGAAATACTGTACTTTCTATAATGGAAAAAGTGGAAATGCTAAATTACAGGTATCAACTGGTCACAGTTATAAATGAATCTTTTATCAGATTTTATTTGCACCATTTTTTCAAACGTTTTGCTGGATGTGATGCCCTTGCCATTAATTTATAAAGTCCCGCACTTATAACTTATAAGCAAGTACTTAATAATTATTGTCATATTTTGTTGTTGACCTGTTGCGAAGTACTTTGGATTCGTAACGAAAAAAAAAGAGAAATTTACTGCTATTGTTGACCTTCCTAGAACTTTCTGAAGCATTCTACAATATCACAGTACTAACTTCACAATTTTTTTCTGAATTTTAGACTTCTCAGATTTTTCAAAACCACTCATGGCCAACCTACATGTTTGGAACTATTTTTAAAAAATGATAATCGCTACTAAAGATGAATCTTGAATTAAGAGTTAATTGTCTAAGAATAAAGACGTAGCGATTTATAACTCAAATAGATGCCGGCCGCAGTTTATCCATAAAGTTATTTCTGGTACGAAACCTTAAGTCAAGCAAAACGATGTTACACACGAAACGCAATAAGGATCTTGTTGGCTGGGATACGTTCAGAATATCTTCCGCAGTGTAAACCGCAAGGCTACTGAAGCAGATCTATCGGGTTGACTCGTGTAAGTTTAAATTTAGGTTACAACTGTTTGGCTTGCTACTAGTGTATTAAAGTTCACTTAATGATATTTACTTACTTCGTAATTGATCTTTTTTAATCAGTAACTGATAAATTAACCGAATAAACTCAGAAAAAATAACAGAAAGAAATGTTTTCCGTGTTATAGTAAATACCTTTAATAAGTATCACATGAGAGCACTAACTAAGTACTAAAAAGAAAATACAAGTTTCATGATGCATACGAGACTGCGGTAACTACTGCTCCTTAGGGGTGAACTGCCATTCACGCACCCCAATGTTAGGGGGCCAGTTATCTGCCGTGAACATTTTCTCAGACTCACTGGCGTAAGAACCAACACGTGCGAATAAACTATTCTTACGACCATTTTTAGCAGAATAAAGCGATACAAATCTCACAGCTATCCCCATAGATTCAATGGTTTTCTTGAGATCTTGGCTGTATTCGTCGTTTGATTGGTGTTCCGTTTGCTCCCGCGGGGGGATGCCATGTAAGCAGTAGTCTTTCTTCTCTTTCTCTTTCTCGACTTTCCCAACGCGCTTGAGAAGCAGTGTCGTCATCACAATGTCTTCACTGGCGTTAGAAGCTTTCTCTCGTGTACCACGGACCACCTTTCCTTTTTTGGCAACGGTCGCCCATGTTTCTTTGGCACTGGTCTCGACAGGGGGGCTGTCATCAAAGCAGGGGCGGGCAATCTTGGTGTCAGGGGTTTTCGTGGGCGCGTTGTGACTGCTAGTGGCGGGAGTATTTTCGGCGGGCGTCGGCGCGGTCGATCGAAAACCAAATGGTTGAGGAGCTAATCGACCAGCATCGGCGGTTTTCGGGGTGGGGGGTTGCCTGCGTTACTTTCATTGCCTCGACGTCGTTCCGGAGAACCTGCAGTGCCGCTGTGATATCATCGTACCTTTTCTGGCTTTCTCGTAGCTCTTTCATATGGGCTTCCATCGAAGATATCTCGGCCTTCAAGCGCTGGTTCTCTTCCACGACCGAGGCAACGATGGTGGGAACTTGCTCTGCGATCGCCTTGATAATCATAGCTGGCACGACTTCGTTAATCAGATCCAAGGCTGGATTCAGTGCAGTGTTAGGGTTCTCCTGTACCTCGATAAGATCGTGGACTAAGGCAGGAATCATTTTTCGCATTATCGGTAGTAGTCGGCTGAAGGACCATTGGTTAGCTGCTGTGGCATCAGGAAACTGACTGGCAAACGCTTCGATGTGAAATGGGGGGTCTGGTTCGTCGGGGGCTTTGGCTGCCATGTTTGTCAAATCTGAACCCCGCAGGCCTTACTTATCTCATGCACAACGATTACTAGTATTCCCAAACAATAATCCAAATATCAGAGAAAGTACTGGAGAAAAATGTCCTTAAATTAATTTTGAAGATCAGAACATCTTGTTATAGTTATTTGTTCTACAGTACATGTACTTGCTCGCTGTGAACATTCTGCGTTTGCTTGTTTTCCGTAGAGTATGCTGCATGAATACGGGTATGGCAATACATGTATCGCGTGAACAATACACCAAAGGAACATGGGCGTGGTAACTGTCAAGCCCGCCCCCGCAGCTAATGACCATGTGCCGCTTGTCAATTGCACTTCATCCACAAGAACCAAAATCATTAATGGCGTACAGTCCAAGCGAATTAGTTTTACGTCCCTACTTACGTACTGCCCAGTTATTCCTGTATGTATTGCACCTTGTTGGCAAATTGCTGAGCAGCTACTATATCTTTAAGCCCATCATTTTTCTGAAGTTTACTAAACATGCTGAATACTTTATATACTGTCTCAAGCAATCGCGGTTGTAAAGCTGTATTTCCTTGTGAAATAATGTAATCGTACACAAGTACTACCGTGCTTTCGGTGGAGCATACCGGACAGCCGGAGATTACATATACGTGCTGGTTCCGCATCAACGATCGCTTGGACAGACGAATTGTGCATAAAGCGTTTTTGAGTTAAGCGTAACCAGAAAATAATTTCAATACGTAGTAACTGCTGGTGAATCTTCTTTCTTTCTTTGATAATAAATATTTTATTCGCTAAATCGTTTGCTAATTACGCTCGGTCTGCCAATAAGTGTGTGCTTTTTTTGCTGTTGTGTTCAGTTGACCATGGGATCACAGCACGCAAAGGTAATAAAATTTATGTAAGAAAAATCAGCTACTGACTAAATCGATGCGTTGTTTTATTGAAAGGATGATAAATGATAGACCCTAAATAAAGTATGTTAGATTATGGCCACCGTGTGTGGTGGATTCTGAAAGCGCGAATGGAAATTTATTTATACCATCATTATTGCCAAATTATATGATTATAGCTCGTACCAAGCGAACAAAAATCAAAAGAACAGTCGCTAGTAATTTTAACATCTAGCCGCAATCCAGTTGACTTTATAGAATGGCGAATTCCATACCACAGGCACAGGTTCACTTTGGCTTGCGTTGGCGCCACGGTGTATAGGGCTCATTTGTAATGGACTCCGCTGGCTCACCGGTGCACGGATCCGCTATAATACAACAGGCTATCATCTGCGGTGTTCGCTTTCGCGCGCATCAAACAGGTTTCAGTTTTTTTTCCGGTATACAATTTATAAGTACCGGAAAAAAAAACAAAGATTGTTCTAAAGTGCGCGAAAGTGAACGCCACCTATTAAATTCATAATGCGTGAAATTTGATTATTTAATCATTTTAACGCTGGAAACCGCAACTTTCGGCCTTTCGCAAGAACTATTGAGGTAATAATAAATTCTATGAAGCTTCGAAATTAGCTGTAATGAAACGAAACTAGCTGTAATGAAACAAAAATAGCTCCGAAACTAGCTGTAAGTTTACTCCATTTCCTTTCCAATAAAATTTTTGTATCAAAATAATTCAAAAAGAATGTAACAGTGCGTAAATTTCACCCCTACAGTGTGGTGTATCAAAAGTCAGGACCTTGTTATTCGATTTTACCGAAGCATTGCTGACAGAGCCTAAAGCTACAGTTCAAGTATACTTAGTGGCGATTTAGAACTGCATCCACGTTCATCACAGCGAGTTTCTTGGATGTCCTTAATGCAGTAAAAACTTTTGAAATTCATTTTTAAATTTGAAAAATGGATCCGACTAAATTATAATTTAGTATTACTCTGCAGACTTTATACTGTGCTTACAGTGCCATATGCCGTACGGCCCATCGATATCCCGATAAGGTTCCCAACCTGTCTCGTTCACCGGGTCCAGATGGAAGCGATACGGCAGGACGTCTCGCAGTGTGCGGTTATTCTGCCAGGCCCAGTGGTGTGCGAAGCAGCACTGCGTCATTACCCGGGTATCATCTCTATCACCGGGACGGCAGTTTCGGCAGTCGGGATAACCATCCTGAGGACATAATGGCTGCGGGTTGAAAAAGACTTTCTCGCCATACTGGTTCACCAAGTCGATATCCCAACTGGTTATCATAACACTCTGGGTCTTCCACAAGAGGTCGTTGTTGCTGATGGGACCACCGTATGGTTCTTCGATCAGGACGTACTGAGGACGATCCGATGGTTGCCCTGACGGGATTGAGAAGTTGACGTGATCGCCGTTGATGGTCCGCAACAACGCGAAACCGGTGACGCCAAGAAAGAGGAACATGTCGCTTAAGAAAAGCTAGACGTTACTATTATGAGTAATATTTTAACTTGAACTAATTGTTGAGGACAGCACGTTCTTATATACTGTCGCGTTCAGCCAACCTCGTCAGTATCTACCTTGGCTTGCCAGGCCATTTGCTGACGCTTTTCAAGTGGGTGTCTTGGGCCGCACTAAATCCAGGGAGTCTTCGGGGTACTTCACGAAGCCTCAAGTGTTTTGCTGTTGTAGTTTTCCCAGTATTGCGTATTGCGACTGCCGGATAATTTTGCAAATTTGCAGCTACAGCAGCTTGCAAGTGGAATCATGAGACTAATTCTAAGTGGACGCTCCGGAAAAAGTAAAACTTTAGCGGATCGACTGATGTCGCTTAGAAGAAAACATGAGCAGCATTCACCGGCAATTAACTTTCAGATTACTGAAATTCATTCCGGGTTCCCTACATACGGCGAAGAAGTTTTTGAGCCTGAAAGCTGCTTTATTTCTTGACTCGGTAACGGGCGGCATTCATTGTACTCTAAATGCAACGGTCAGTTCTTTTTATAGTGACTTTATACTTCTGATGCGATAAATGTTTGACAATATTCTGAATAATTTGCTAACAAGCTCTGTACTTTTAGACGAAGCTGAAGTTCAGAACACTGCTAGATGACTTCGGGCATTGCTTTATTTCGTAGTTAATGTGAACTCTGCGTAGACTGTGCATACGAAAATTTTCAGTACAGCTTGCAAAATTTGTTGCCGAGAAAATGTCTGATGGTTACTAAAACTTGATTAAGCTTTCTTGTATACCGATTTTCCTGGATTTTCAATATATTACGCTGACATCTGCTTGGATTATGGGCTTCTTCGGCCTAATGCCAGCTGGCGCATTTGCTTCGCTATCATGTATTGCTTTGCTTCATTTGTAGTCTTGATGGTTCGCTCGCTTTGTGGATCCGACTTCACTTGGTTTTGTAATCGTTACGCGTTCGCCGTAAGTAGTCTGCTGTGCAATATTATGCCTTGCTTTTATCTGCACACAATTCATTTATGTACCTTTACAACGTCAAAATTTTCGATAACTTCGGGAAAATCACGACAGCTGAGTACCTATGAAGGCTATGATTGCTATTTGGCATTACGAAGCAGCCTTGTGATCCGATACTTAGCTGCTATTTTACCCATTCCACTGCGCAAAACCAATCAAATCAAGTTTATGTTTTATCGACCGAAGCGTAGCGAAGGTCCTCTATGTTCAGCGTTCATGAAAAATGTGGTGTCTGTCGGTCACCGCCATCAAATGCACACATGCGCGGCTTTCCTCAGTCAAATGCACATGCGCGCTGGCCGTGTATGCTCAAGGCGTGTGGAAAATGTGGTGTCTGTCGGTCACCGCCATCAAATGCACATATGCGCAGCCCTTCCTCAGTTAAATGCACATGCGCGCTGGCCGTATATACTCAAGGCGCGTGGAAACTGTGGTGTCTGTCGGTCACCGCCATCAAATGCACATATGCGCGGCATTCCTACTACAGTGAAACCTGTCTTTTACATACACCGGTAAATACATACACCTGGAAATTACATACGCGGAAATTTTAACCGGTGCGTCCCGTAGACTGTAATATAACTCTGTGTAATACATACACCTGGATAGTACATACAGTTTTGCTTTAACCGAAGGTGTATTTGGTAAACAGGTTTCACTGTATTGAAATGCATACATACACGGTTTCCGCCATCTATGCATATCTGCAGTACGGTCACCACATACACAAACTATCACATAGGCACATACTATGAAATGCACACATGCACGGTCTCCATACTGTCAAAACAAAAATGCTGACTTTTTTTTTAAAATCATAAATTTTTAATCCATTGGTTCAACTACATCACTTCAACACATAATACACTGTAATCTTTCATAATAAAGATGTAATCTACAGTCTCAACCGACAACAGAGATAGACGGTCTGATTATACTGAACATCTCATCTAAATTAGCCGATGCTGGTGCTGTTCCCATGACGGAGGCCGCATTCCCGCGTTGAATTTCAATGCTGAACCTCTGGCGCAGATACTCAATCGCCCGTATCTCGCCCGTTTCTGCGCGTATCATCTGTCCGAGTTCGGTGACCATGCGAGAAGCGTCTGGTCCCAAAGGTCCGAGTGTTTCGACGCCTACTGCACGGAACATGTAGTCCGGTGTGATGTCACGATACTTCGCCACTTTATCCTGCTCTGCGCGCCGCGGCTGCTCCCGCTTGTTTCGATGTTGCCACGATGTGCGACAAGGCTACTGTGCACACACATGTAGCATCCCAGGTCAACATCTTTCCTCTTTCCCACGGGACCAACGTCACTCCCTCGGGACGCATACCATTGGTTAGGCAGATACCGGGTGGTTCCAGTTCCGTTTCAATACCTGCTGAAGCGAAGGCGCGCTTTAAGGTGGCATTAAGGCAGCTGTGTCTGGACATCCGGCCCCGGCTTTTTTTGCAACTTAGGCCATCATATCCTCGTGAGTCTACCCATTCACCGCAGATGCAACGGTGTGGTGTGGTGATCGGTACTCCGAGGCGCAGGCCGACTGCGATTCTGAGTGTGGTATCGTTCAGGAAATTTCCCAGTGATGCTGCTGGGAGCGCTTCCAGCCATGCCCCGTTTTCTTTGCTGCTCACGCCTCGGAGACGGGCTTCACTGGACATGTCTGACTGTGCGGCCGCCAACAAAGCTTCCGTTGAACCCTGGATGACTGGTTCGTCCCATGTTTTCTGGTGCTTTCGGGTTTCGAGAGTCGGGAGATCAGCCCCGCTCATTCGCTGCCACTCTTCTACGGCGCCACGACAGTACCTTTCCGGGTCGAAATCAACTATCTCGCAGGTAAGTTGAGCCACTGAGTAAGCCGAGGCCAAAAAGGCCGGCAGAGCTAGCTTCTCAATGCTCCGAATTCCGAGACCACCCTGTGCGACCGGCAAGGACGCTTGCATCCATATGGCGTCGGTAATTTCCACATTGGTAACTGCGCACAGGCAGCCGATTATCATTCTGTCGAACTGTCGCAACAAATCTGGTTGAAGATAACAACGTGCAGTGCGTAATCTGTAAATCATTCTTACAGGTCCCATACTACATTTCAGAAGGTACAAAGCATGGTGAGCAGGCAAGAGAGTCAAACGCTGAGTCATCCTCGCGATCTTTTCAGTTTCGGCGACGAGAGTGCCCGCAACTGCGTCGCTGTGTAATGGTGCACCAAGGTAGGTCAACTCATCCAGGTGTGGGAACTGCAAATCAGGAAAGGACTGGACAAAGGCGTCAGTTACTCGTTGGCGTTCTGTTTCTGACCCTCCGATCACCACTAGTTCGCATTTCGCAATGTTTAAATGCAAACCAGACTTTTTCAGCTCTTCTTGTAGTGTGTACAGGTCATCGTACACGTCTTCAGGGTCACCTCCCAGTGCATCGTCATCCAAAAAGCTCTCACTGAATTTGGATTTCAGGTGACGGTGTGGTTTTATGGTCGCTAGGCAATACAGCAGTGGACCAAGGGGATCACCCTGTTGTATCCCAGCTTGTGAAGAGACGCGGTAGGTACCGTGTAGTAGAACTGATGGTGAACCATAACACTGCCACACGTACCGGTAGTACTGTGGCAAAAATTCTTCAGCTGCTTCCAAGATCTTATTCCGATCGAGAGAATTGAAGGCATTTCGGACATCCAATTTCAGGAATGCTTGAACTTTGTCGCTTTCAGCAGCGTTCTCGATAAAGCAGCGTGCACCATGAACTGCTGCTTCCACGCCGCCTTTTGTGGCAAAACCTAGTTGGAGAGGCTGCAGTTCACTTTTCAAATGACGCAATCTGTAGGATACAATACGGGATACAAGCCGGCGTATAGTTAAACCAACTGCAATGGGCCGTACTCCATTGTCCTTCTTCTTGAAGGCAAATAAATTGGCACCGTATAATATGGCGGTGATTTCGGGGTGCACTTCCCCCCGTAGCATAATGTTTGCTACGTCTGCCAAGGCGATGCACAGATTCTTCGCCACTTCACGATTTTTCCAAAATGCTGACTGGTCGTATAAACTCGAGCGGCGTGTAAGATGTGGTGTACCCTGTTCACCATCTCTCTCTCTAAAGTGTCCAGAGGCGTGGTAGCCGTATGAAAACCCTGTGGTGCCTATTTGCGTTACGGGTACGCTCAGCGACAGCATTTTGGATACCGATGAGCTGCAGAACACTTCGAGCTCTCAGCTGCACAAATTTTTTCTAAAGCGAATTACAGAGAGACTCGGTTAATTAAGCACATTCCACAGATGCGTTCATCTAATTATCAGGCAAGCATTACTTTGTTGCCGTGCATTTTGCCCGGTTAGAGTGGGTATACAGAATACACGTTTTTTCCTTACACCAACTCTGTTGCTCAAGATGTGCCAGGCAATACAGTAACCGATACGACGATGCCCTTCTACCGTTGCACTATTTGTTGCTAAAATCAATATTTTTAAATACTGTAACCCGCTCCATGAAACTGGAACACAAAGCCTGGAAGTCCGGAAATAGTCATACCTTCTTGGTATGACCAGCGCGCTCCCGGCATGCCAGAGCTGCGTCCTGATCTGACCGTAGGTAGTGCAGTTTCGTGGAGGGCAACAGTAGTTAACGTGAAAATATTCGCAAACCGCATTTAACAGTCAGCTCATGTGGAATATATTTTGGTATTTCGCTGGGAAAGTTACCGCCATTTACTCGAATCGCGATTGAGTAAAACAAACAAGACTTGACGTTACCTGATTCTTCCAAAAAAATTGGGAACTGCAATACTGTCGAAAAACACGTCTATAGACGGTAAAACCATGCATCCGGCAGCCAGGCAGGTCATCCACCGTAACTGAGACCGTAAATACATGTCCCTCCGAGAAGACTTTAGTTTTACACAATGTTTTTCAATATGACCGGCAAAAATGTCCGATTCAAAACTTTTGCTATACGTATTCCGAGAACAGCGGAATATTGATCTACCTG